AGCGCGCCCAGCGCCGCGAAACGGAGAAGGGCGGAGGCCAGAAGCTTGTAAAATCGATCAAACACCCACCGAAAGGGCTCCAGGCGCTGCGCTGGCGCGGAGTAAGGAGCCCAGGTGATGTCCTTTCAGGGGAGATTAAGCTTGAACGCAAGAAATTCTGTCTAAACCCACCCAAAATAGCTCTTGCGCCCAAGCGCGGGTGAGTTTTTGCTGGATATCCTTCAAGAATTGCTGCTCAAAAAATAATCGCTTCCAGTGGGTGTTATTAAAGCCAGGGGTGTTGCAGGAGAAAGGGAACAGCCCGCCTTCGATCTGCGCCTCACAGACACCCTTTCTGTGTTAAATTAAAAAATAAAGGGTTTTTAAACTCATTTTCAGTTCAGGCCTTCAGAATGGCACTGACACAACTGAAGGTAGAGGATTTTTTTATTATTTTTTTTTTTCTTAAAATCAGCATTGCCACTGGAGAAAACTTAAAGCTACCAGCCTTTTGCTAAGAGCAGTCGTCGCTCGGGTCCGGAGAAGAAAGGGAAGGTCACTGCGCCCCGAAGACACTAAAATACTCACACGATTCGTACCGTGGTAAGCTGAAAACCAAGAGGAACATTCTTTCTTGACACTTCATAATACAATTTCCAGTTTACTGAGCTCAGTTTACAGGTAGTTTTTTTGCAAGCAGAGGATGCGCTGCCAGTAACGGATGCTGTGACTGAAATCTTTAACTTGCATTTATTATCAAAGTCATACTGTTTACATCTGTAATGTCGACAAGATGCCACAACTACAAAAAAAGATTGTGCACATTGCAGTTTCAATGCAAAAAACAGTAAAATGGAAATCCATTTGTTAAAAAAGTAATTAAAATTACTCCAGAAAGCAACTGAATCGTTTTAACACCTTTACATCCAGTCAAATTAAAATGGTTAACAAGAAAAAAATACAAATTCGAAAATCTGGTATCAGTGTTAAAAAGGCAACTACTTAAGCATTTCTATCAATTCGCACATCGATCTCCCTCCCGCGAAGCTGGATCCCGTTCATCATGCGGCAGGCTCGCTCGGCTACTTCCGGGGACTCAAATCGAACCACCCCGCAGCCTTTCGATTTGCCGTTCTCCATCTTGATGTCAGCGTACAGCACGTGACCTTGAAAAGAAAAGAAAGGGTCTCGTTTAGCCTCGCAGGAACCACGCTCGAGCAAACCACGGTTCTCTACTCTGAATCACACCCTTGGTATCACCACTACTTTGCAACAAAGCTGCCGGACAATTTTACCACCTGAAGAAGCGTGTTCGGTTTACGAGGTTAATTCTCACTCAAGCAGCAGCAGCAGAAATAGGGGAACCAAGTAAAAGAGACGCTAACGAGCCCTGTCCGACGGATCCACGTCACAACTGATGAGGCTGCGACGTGGTTGTGCCATCAGACAAGCAGCACAAGATGTTGGGGACTGAGGTCTAGGCACAGCGACTCAAAATCTCCCCAAAGCTGACCAGCGCACCTCGACAGTCAAGTAACTTGGAATTTTTCTATTTTAAAGGACAGCTTTCCCAGACAACCACGTTCATTTGGATACAAAGAATGTGTGCAGGTGTTTTTCAGCAGTTCTCAGGACGCCCGTGTGTCTGTCCACATCTGCAGAGAGGCCATCCCCGCGATAAACCCAGCCCCCGAGATGGAGAAGGGCACAAGTGCGTACAAAAAGCACAGGTTAACAGCGTTACCAGCTGGCCAGGCATTTCTTTCTTTTCCACCCTGCAGAACTGGCAGAGCAGGGATGGTAAAACATCCTCCCAACACTTGGCGATGTTTAGATCCAGCATTTCAGTAAGTCTGAGTGAAATCTGTTAAGATGCTACTGCCAGGGGCATTCAGAGCCAGGAGTTACTGCTTAATCCATATCCAATTCTCAGAGTAATTACCAGTGATAAAGCAACTTACCACATTCATTAAATTTATCTTTCAGCATTTTCCATGTAAAATCAAAAGGCAGCTGTGAAGAGAGAAGAGCAGACCGTTAGTGAGGATCTGCTGAACAACTCAAAACCGCTGCCAACTCTTCCAAAAAAACACATTTTCCACCCTGGAACCGCCACCATCCAGATGCAGAGAGCTCTCCTCCTATTAAGGAAACGGCTTTGACTCACAAAAGCCACCCCAACCCCACCTTTGGCAGCATCCCTGACACCACATATCAGACATCCTGACAGAAGCCAGCCAAGCACCGAGCAGTCAGTACCAGTTATTTTCACGATCTGCAAAGGAGAGGCGGGAAGAAGGCTACTCACATTTCTCACAAATATCTGACAGGCTTTCCTGGCCACCCCAGCTGCAGGTCCTCCAGTTCCTCCAAGGGAGCCTGCAAAATTGCCTGCAAAGTTTCCACGTTCCATGTCCATGGGTCTTTCAAAATTGCTTCCCATCGCAAGTCCCATTCGATCTATGCCTGCTCCCATGCCCTGCCCCATAGCAGGACCCATTCTCTCCATGTTAGTGGCTCCGATGCGCTCCAAGCCCATCCTCTCCATGCCAGCAGCACCCATACGATCTATCCCTATTCTTTCCATCGGAGTGGCACCGATACGCTCCAAACCGGCCGGCATTCTCTCGATCACCTGCCCCATTCCGGTTCCCATGCCGGCAGGGACCATACGCTCCATGCCGATGCCCATCCTCTCCATGCCAGACCCCATCCGCTCTACGCCTGAGCCCATCCTGTCCATGGTGGTGCCGACACGGTCGATGGCAGCCCCCATCCTCTCGATACCAAAGCCTATGCCAGACCCCATCCTCTCTATGCCAGACCCCATCCTTTCGATGGCCGGGCCCATCCTCTCGATGTTTGGAGCGATGTGATCGATGCCCAGAGGGCCCATTCGGTCAATTCCTGACCCCATTCGCTCCACGTTGGAGCTCATGCGATCCAAAACAAGCCCCATCCTGTCTATTTCTGACCCTACTCTCTCCATCCCGTGCCCCATCCCGGAAGGTATTCTTTCTATTCCCGAGCCCATACGATCAATGCCAGGTGCCATCCTCTCAATCCCAGGAATGCTGGCATTTCCACCACCTGGAACACAACACAGAGATGATCAGTAATCGTACGGGGACAAAATACCTTAACGCATCCAAACGTTTTAAATTTGGGGACAAAACACCCTTAAAACATCCTTACGCTACTCAAATGCTTGAAATTTTATTGTTACTCAGAAAAGTGACCGCAAGCCGCGTGCTCTGCCACCGCAAAATGGGAAGCGTTTTATTTCAGGTAAGAATATTGCTGGCAGGACATGATTTAGGGAAGAAGTCATCTCATCAGACCACGTACTCGAGTCGAGATGGAGAAAAGCTTATCCCTTCACTAAGGAGTTTAACTTCTGTATGCACAAGGAAAGCCTTCAAAAAAAAAAAAAAATGGAAAAAACACTGAAGGCAAAACGCAAGGCTAGAGGAAGATCAGGTGGCAAAAGTAGTATTTGAAATACAATCTTAGCTGCTTTTTGTCCTCTACACTGGGGATTACCCAGCAGGGGCAGGGATTTAGTAACTGAAATTACAGTTCAACTACAGATTGCTCAGAAAAGGGCTGAAATCACACCACCCTTGCGACACAACTTGGCTTCTGCCAAGCCAGGGAGAGACTTTTGCTAGAGAAGCTTCCCCAACACTAAGAGCCGCCTTATTGCCAGAACGCCAAGAAAGCAAATTCCACACAAGAACCACAGTAGAAAAACTACTGTGTCACAAAGTGTGCTTGGCCTTTTAATGAGGAAAAGGTTGCCCGTGCCACAGAACACGAGCAAGACCAAGGTTTCTAGATCTGCTATGCAAAAATCCCTCGGCCGAGTTGTCCTGTCTCTGTTGCGGAGTTGTCCAGTTCCTGCAGGAGAAGGACCACCCTCCCTCCTCCCCACGGTTTAGGCCATTTTGCTGTTGTACAAAGGCTCTCAGCTTATTTATCAAAGCTAGCGCCACAAAAAAAAAAACAATAAAAATTAAAATCCCATTGAGTTCAATTCCTAATTGAGGGGAAAAGGCTGAGTAAAGCGCATACTTCAATTATCTACGCGTTTAACAAAGAAACAAGATACGTAACCCTAAGATGAGCCTACTTCAGTATTTCGAGGTTCAGCAGTACATTAAATAACCCAGAATGGGGTTGGGCTACGTAATATTTGTACTTGGGCAAGGTTTTTATTTGTGGCTTTGGGGTTTTTTTAAATGAAGAAACAGCAATAACCATTTCATATTTCTTCAGCTCAAAGTCAGCAGCATCGCGCATCTGGTTTTAGAGTTTCTCAAAAAAGGGCTAATCCTGTGCAGGTAGGATTGAGTCATTAAGCAAATAAAATTCATTATGTAAATTGGTACGCAGGGGGCGGTCTCCCTCTTTTGAGATAGTTGGGTTCAGCTCAGTTTCAGAAATTCTGCAGTTTTGAGTACTCAATTATTGGAACAGCCCGATATTCCAGAGAGTCACTGGGCAACTTGCTGGGAAGCTAAATGTCCTACAGGCAGTGGGAAAGAGCAGGACTTTGTTTTCGCTGGGGAAAAAAAAAAAAAAAAAATCTAGTATTTTACCAACAGTGTTTCAAAGACAGACAAGGGCCAAAGCTGACAGTCAAAAAATGTAATTTTGATTTTTAGTTTTCCAATAATCTTTTTTCAGAAATGTTTTAATGCATGACGCTTCTTAGCTATTTAAAGATTATCTCCCTCAAAACTGATTTTTATTGCATTATGCAATAAATATATATTATACAGGCAGCTGAGTTGCCATAACTGAATTGTTACTTTAAGTGCTCTGATTTTTATGAAGGCTGCATTTGCTTTGCCCTCTTAATTTTAAGGTAAGGATATTTGCCTTTTTTTAATGACTTATTAAAAAAACGATCACTTTTTCTTGCATATAAGATGCAATTGTATAAAGAGTCATCCAAGTTGTATCAGCAACAGCGTGCTTCTGTCCCGTGCAGTTCAGGTATGATAAGCAGGAAGGAGAAGTACTTAGCTCCATGTACTTACCTATTCCTCTCTCCAAGGTCTCTCCAAAACTACGAGACATTCCCATTTCATTTCTTCCAAATTCTCTTTCAAACCCTCCACCCATAGCACGATCCATCTCTGAAAAGATTAAGTTTGACATGTTCTTCAGGGCGTCTAAGCGACTCCTCCAAGAATGTTTTAATATGAGCATAATATTCAAAGATTACCAGCAAGGCGACTCTTTGTTACTGTGTTCTCCTGATCACTTTATTACATCCTCGTGACACGTGAATAAATACATTTAAGAGAGTCACTGCACTCTGGAGAAGCCTTTCTAGTGAATCCAGACAGAGCATGGATTATCTCTTTCTAAACTATTCTTTCAAGCCAACCTCAATGAATCCCTTGATTTCTGAAGCTCAGAGGCCACAAGTGACATGAGGACGGTGTGTCAGCTGTAAGCTTTAAGTTTTTTTCCCCCCCCAATATAGATCGAATCACAGAATGATTTGGGTTGGAAGGGATCTCCAAGATCATCTAGCTCAGGAGAAGCAAATGCACAGGCTAGAGAGCGTTAAACTTCCAGAGAACAAAGTCAGGAACTGGATACACACAGAAAAGCGTAATGCCTACCGCTCATTCTGCCCATGTTCATTCCAGCTGGGAAGCGACCAATGTTTTCCATGCCACCGAAAGGACCTTCCATTCCTTAAAGAAAAAAGAATAAATTCTTCAGGGACTCTTAGCAAAGCATTTCAACTTAATGCTACATTTCACCCACAGAAGCTGCTTCCACACCACATTTCCCCAGGCACTAAGAAAACTCTCTGTCACAGACACACAAAATCAAATTCGGTCACACGGTACCTTTTAACCCAAGGGCAGTTATAACAAGTCATGTGAGAAAACCATTGGTCATGATTTGTCCAAGGTTTTAACCCTTCCCCACACCCCCACACAAGTTTTATTACTACTCAGAAAGGAACAAGTTATTACTAAACTGGTGACGATTTCACAGAACACAAATGCCTGCTAGACACATACAATTAAGTTTACATGAATTTTTGGAAAGCCTAAGCTAGATACACGTCAAAAAAACACAGCTTACCTCCCATTTTATTCATTCCAAAGCCCATGCCTTCCATTCCCATTCCTCAAAATAAAAGAGAAAGCTTTATGTAGCAGATATAATTCTACAGAAATTCAGCCATTAGACTGGCTGCAGAAACAGAGACCATACAAGACGTCCACTGTCAGACCGAAGAGCTTACACGTGATAACTCTGAGTAGATTGCAACATTCCTTCTCAGAAAACAAAGCAGCAAAGGGGAAAAAAAAAAAAACAACCCATAGGCATTTATAAATTGAAAGCTGAATGTGTGCTACTTTTTAGGTGGCTCTTTAAAACTTGTGCTGTTTAAACATGTCCTAAACGAAGATTTGCAAGCCCACTAATAAGTGTTAAAAGTGACAGATGGTTTTTAAAGTCTCATGTATATTTGCAGTGTCTGCTGCTCATGCTCAAGAGTCAGAAAATGAGAGCTGTGCCTTGACCACAGTGGAAAAAAAAAAAAATGGAGCAGTTGGTTAAATTCAAGTTTCCATCATCAAGCTCATTATTCAGCTCAACAAAAAACTCATTTGGCTTTAACACTCCTAATACACTTCAACTTTTTGTGTAGGCAAAACAAAGCTATCTACCTTCTACACAGCTTAAAGCTCTCATGAAACAAAAGCATAGGAGTAATCTTCTTACCTCCAGGTCCCATGTTGCCCATTCCCATGCCTTTGTTTAAATGATTTGCATCAATAGGTTGACCTCCAGGTCCTAATCCCATGCCAATACCACCAAGACCATCTGAAGAAAATATTCAGATATCAAAAAAGCCTTCTTTCCATAGGTTGACAAAACAGCAAGTTTTATTCTTAAGTAATTGACTTTCATTCTCCAAAAAGCTTGCTGTGTTCCCCCTTTGGGGTGTGTACTTAAAGCATGAAAGTGTCTAGTAAATCCAGAGTCGATGTGTCTTGAAATATACTAAAAACTCAATTTTTAAATTTTTTTTTTTCCTCTCAGAATCCATTTTCCATCTTACTAGAGAAAACTTGGTTGGTTGGTTTTAAGCTGACTCCTGAAAAATATCTGGCTAGAACACTGCTTATTTTGTGCAACTCCTCAATCTAAGGAGAATCGAGTGGGCAATTTAGTATCAAGATCTTCTAACCTTTGCACAGTGTTACCCTTGATTGACAAATGGCTTATTTCCACCTTTGCCTTGTAGGTAAGAATTTAACCACAAAAGTTCAACCTATCGTTATGATAGCCACCTATAGAATTCAGAGCACACAGCCAGCCTCTTCCCTGAGCAAACAAAAAAATGTGTCATTCCCAGGCGTAATTTTGAATCTTCCTGCACCCAATGCAATTAAGGATTCCCCAGTTCAAAGAAAGAAGAAACAGCCCTCATTTTCCTTCTAGTTAATCAGGAAGAAAGAGTTCTCTGCTTGCACTTGCGTCAAAAAAAAAAACAAAAAAACAAAACCAAAACAGCTTCATGGTATTCTTTGCCTATGAGAAGCGGACTTCCTCGTTTACAGCTCAGCATAATAAACACAGAAGCATCGAATCTTGTTTTAAAACAACCCAAAACACCCCTTCCCCGCCCCAATAAGGCCAAGAAACCGGCTTCCATTGGCATTTGTTGAGTTTTATTCAAAGACAATTAAATCGGAACCCATTACCTTCTCTCAAAAGAGAGAGTTAGACCGTTCTGGAAAGTCAAGGCAGCAATAAAACCCAGGACTGCTGCTGCTGCTGAACAAGGTGTTGACAGATACACAGAAAACTGAACTAAGGAAGGGATGGACTGATTTGACGACCGCTAAAATCGCGAAAATTAGCAACACACAACAGATTTAGTTCTCATGCCCAGGAGAACAACCGTCGGCCACATTCATAGAATTACATCAATGGCCACACTTCACATCTTTGATGTATGTAAACGAATTAAGTTGGTGTTCTCCTGTCTCTAGCTCTTCCCCTCCAACCCAAGCCTGTTCAACACCTGCAGGATCTTATCCCAGGCTGGTTGAGATTGGAAGGAACCTCAGGAGGCTCCAAGCCCACTGGCTCAAGCGGGGTCACCTCGAGCTGGTTTCCCCACGACGAGGTCCAGCTTTGGAATATCTCCAAGGATGGAGACTCCCTGGGCAAGCCCTTGTTCCAGGACCCCCGAGCCCCCACAGTAATGGTTCCTCATATTCAGATGGAGTCTCTCATGTTTCGGTTTATGCTTATTGCCTCTCGCCCCATCACGGGGCGCCACGGAAAATCAAGGCCTCTGGCTCCCTCTTTTTTGTACCCTCCCTCCAGGTATCGGTAAGATCCCCTTTAGAGATCTGCAAGATTCTCAGGTCCTTAATTCAGCCCCTTCCAAATGATGGAAAAACATGAAGATATCCGGAGTACCATCACATAAAAGGAGGCACACTTTTTTCTCTATTGACTTAAGTTTCCATTAAATCCCGCTAATAATAGTAGTTTTACAAGGCATTGGGGCCTTTGAGTTGCAGTTGAGATATCTGGAAGCCTTGAGAGCATGAATGGGATACTGTTTTAAGACAAGTTTCTAGCCATGAGCTGAAAGAAGTATCCAAAAAAGAAAAAAAATAGATAAGGCTGAGCAGCTCTTCTTTACTATTTTCCCCTTTGATATTACTTAGACCATCTGGATCTCAGGTCTCCAAAAGTTTGAACCAGAGTCTTACTTGAGCTGGGATCAGGTCCCAGTTGCTGAACAGCAAAATAAAATAAAAAAATAAATAAAAAAAAGATATAACACGTTCAGTCGCGCAGTAGAGACTTACGAGGGAGTTGCTGGGGTCGCTCTGGAGGAAAGAAGTCTCCTTTGGGAAAGGCTCGTTCATCCTAAACACAAACGCAATATATTAAAGCTTGTGAGAAAGGTAAGAAATTATTTCTTGCCCTCTTTTTAAAAGAATTAAAACACAGGAACTTAAAAGCTAAAGCAATCCGCACTGTATTTATGATTGTCTTTTCAAAATAATCAGAACTAACCTTCCCCAATGGCATAAGTTGCCATCACTAGGAATCGGGGAAGTTGCGCGTTTTCCCCCCCATATTTCAACCCACCCTTGAAGACACACATCCTCCAAAAATCCAGACCACAATTACGTGTTCGAAAAGCGGTCAGAAATGAAACGTACTTACCATTTTCACGTGCATCGGTCTGTCAAACAGCAGCTGCCCATTAAACATCGCTATCGTTTCGTTAAGGATCGTTGTTCAAGCGCTACAACCGCACCCAGTCTCAGAGCTGATGCGGAGGACAACGACGCCGTCAGAAAATCAGGCTTTGCCAGGTCGCTTCCCAAGCTAGTGTCTACAGAACAGCGAAAATCCTTCTGCCTTCCCCAAAACTAAAGAACTCTGAAATCCAAATAACCGAATATTCCAAGAACAGCTTTTTAAAATTAAAACACACATCTCCTGGTTAAGATTAAGTTCATTAAGAGATGGCTTAAAACGTGACTTCAAACCAGCCTGGGTGTTTAAATGTTGCATCAGTAACTGTAGCCAAACAGAAAAACATGCAAAATTCTCTTCCAAATCAACAAATAATCAAATTTTGAGGGAAGCCACGCTAGTGAATCGTTTGACATTTTTCGAAGTCTTGCTCCCACAAGACTTCACTCACTAGAGTGCACGTGCAGAATGGAATTAACATTCAAACAGAAACTTAAGAGGGGAAGAGAGGGACTTTTTTTCCTCCTTTCGATACCACAGCCACAAGTTGAGAGATCACGTACACAGCAGTAGCTGTGCTGTGTTGTTGTTTGGTTTTGGAAAATTGCTACGTAGCAAAGTATCGCCTGCACAGCGTGAGGATGGAGGGAACAGAGGAACACCCTAGATCGAGCCATCTTCCACTGCAAACAGACTTGTGGCACTTCTCCTCTACCTCCGTCACAGGAATTCAAGACAAATCTTTCCTCAGAAATTGCATTTTAATATTAGCTAGAACCTAGAGGCAGAAATTCACTATTTGGGCTAGAAATACAGATATCCACATGGCAGAGAGAGTGCACTTTGTTAATGATTCTGAGCAAACAGCAACAATTCTTTCAGGAAGGACTTAATTCCCCTCTTATAGCTTTCCTTACACTTTCCAGCCACTGCAACAGCTTGACTTTCTGAGACCTGGCAACATCCTCACGCGTAATACTACCAGTTAGATTTTCATCCCGCTGGGTTCACCAAGTTCCCTGCCTACTATTCACCATCGTTACTCTTCAAGGATACATATAGCCTGAACAGCCTCTATTGCTTGCTCAAAAGTGACAGTGCCAATCCCGCGACTCTTGCCATCTTTGTCTTCTAGTATGTCTGCCCGCACCACGACCCCGGCCATGCTGAACACTTCTTTCAGTTTCTTCCAGCCAACCTTGTAATCCAACTGGAAGGCAAGAGATATTGGAAGCATGAGAAACATTTCCATTAAAAAAGAGCTTGAGTTTTCTTATGTGTCCCTTCCCGAGAGCAGCAAAGAAACAGAGAGTCTTCACAGAGACAGGATAAAATATAAATAGCATAAGGAATGCAACAGAGCTTAATGCAATTCTTGGCTTTGTTAAAAAATACAAGTTAACAGACGCTGTCACATATAGGATACAGCTTAATTTACAACTTTACTAGCACAGAGACTCAGCAGGACGAGCCACAGAATAAGCTACCACTCAGTTTTACTGGAACTGAGCTGAAGGTCTACAGCTCTTCTAATTCATTAGATTTAATTCAGTAAAGACGCCAATACTCTGGTCATGTTCTGTCTGCAGATTACACAGCACTTACGTTTGCAACGAAGACTGTGCTTCCAAGCCTCCCCGCCTGTAAGGCATGAATGATCTCGTTGGGGATGTTGGGATTGTTGAGGATACTGGGTGGGATATTGATCATGCCAGGGCCGCCGGGGCCCGGCCCAATACCCATTCCCCCAGCCGCTGCCATGACCTTCTGCATCGCTCTCCGGGCGTGCTCCCCGTCAGGATCCTGCGAACACAGAAAGGACGTGCTTAGCTCCCTCTGGGCTGCACTAAATGTGCCGTGAATCAGCGGCATGACTAAAACAGCCAAAAGAAGAAGGGGATTCCCCTTTAGACAGGGCTATCTGCTCCCTAGAGATCTCCAGCCAACTCCCTTATACATCGTCACTAATTTCTTTTCTTTTAACCAATATGCCAGCACCCTTCAAGTCCGCAAGTTATTCCTACTTGTGCATTTCCCCAATTCTGCAAGCGGCTTATCTGTTATTCAACACCAACAATAAACCTCAGCTACATCCATTCCAAAGACACTGGTTATTAAAACTGGTTTGTCAAAACCCAGAACGGCACTGGAGAGGTTCAGGAAGACAAACGCCAACTGACTCTTGGCATCTTTAAAACAACGCAACAATTCATTTACTTCCCACTTCAACTTCTTCACAAGAATGTAAAATTTCAAGACTGGTTTGGGCACCGTTGGGTTTCTTCCCCTCCCTTCACACTGGTTTTCCAACCCCCTCCAAAAATATCTTTCTAATGCATCCCCTAATCACTGCATAATCTCGCGATTTTAGGTCATGCTAGAGAACACGAAGCATAGGATGAAGAATTCAAGGAAGGATGCAAGATTAATTATCATCGCTTCATTTTCACTGAAAGTGAACATAAGCACCTTCACAATACAAGATGAACTTAAATTACTTCGGTTGGAAGTATTCAGTGAGCAAAATGCACCAGCACTGCAAGACTGCTGAAGAAAACGAGATGTCAAATACAATACAGGTGCTTTAAACCTAATAATTTAATCTCCATCCAAATCTTAAGACTAAGCAATAGCACATTTTGAAAATGTGAGGAAGGATAGCTTTCACATGATTATTTCAGCTACAGAAAACCACAGTAGTCTGAGGTGGAGAACACATTAAAGTGAATGCGAGTCACTTCTTAATTTCACTGCTTAAAATCAGATTAGCTCCAACAGAAAACCAGGAGTGGTTATCATGCGAACTAAACTCTTCTGATCAGGCAAAGCTTTATCAATTCTGCCACAGAACTTTTCTTATGTCACTTGAAGGCCTTTACACTCCTCAGCAGCGAGACAGCCAAAATAGAGAAGTAAGTACCTGACAGCTGCCAAAACCGATGTTAAGGTCATCCCTGATAACGTAATTTGTTCTACACAGTCAGCCTGTGGCACTTGGCTGGGGTAAAGCATTGCTAAGGTCCCTAATACCCGTAAAATGCTTCTTCACCAGTTTCAACTATCATTCCTGTGTCATACAGGAAAAAATATTCAAGTATGATACTGGTTTCACGAGGAGTTGGGCAAATTACAAGCACCCCTTCTCAAGGAGTGATACCAAAGGGCAACCTGACTAGTACTAGTGGTACCTCATTAACAGCAAAACAGACCCAGACCTACCCACTCTCCATAGCTTCTTCTTCCAGGAGGCTTAGAAAAGTCAGCATCTGACAGCTTTCGGGTGCAACTCTGTTTTTCTACCCTAACGGGTAGCAAAAAGTCAACGGTGCCAGCAGATGGTTTGCACCCAGAAGCAAGCAGGCTGCTGCCCCCCGAGTTCCTCACTCTACTTACAAAATCAGCCAGATCTCCGAGAAGTGCCACCGCTCGCTGATCCCCTCCCTCTTCCCAAGCACTCCTCACGCTACAGCAAGCAGCGGGGTACCAAGGGCAGACCTGGCGCACACATCCTCAATCTCACATTCATGCAGACATTTTTCCCTCCACCGTTAAGCGGGCAGGGCACAAGAGATCATGAAGCATGCTTAGCCAAGAGCGTAGCTCACATACCCTCAGGCCAAGAGGGAATGCTAACGCTGAAGTAAGTCCCTTTCTGGTTTTGGTCAACGGAACCTTCAATGCAGCTACAGGTTCCAAACTGCTGGAATAAAACTTTAAATTTGTCAGTGGTTAAGAATTAACTCATGGTACAGGTGAGCATGTCATACTGGTTGACAACAGCAGAGCCATTAAAACAGCAATAAATTGTCCAAGTATTTCAGAAGCCAACTTGCTCTACAGAATTGTTTGTGGAAAACATTCATTACGATGCAAAATTAAAAGGGAAGGCAGGCAGGAACAAACAATGCTTATGCAGGTTTCTTCAAACTCCTAAACAAGAAAATAGAGCTGCAGTTAAAGCCAAACTCTTGCCTTGTTACCATCAGCACTTACTCTTAAAATCAAATTATCAAATTTCATCTTGACAAATCCCATCCAAACTCAAGTTCAGCAGCACATGCTGATGGTAAAAAAAAAAAAATAATAAAAGTTGACTGTCTTTTTTTAATCCCTGCCTTTTGTAAATTACTCTTAATCTGCAAATGAGTCAGCCACAAATCTTGACTAAGAACTACCCCTTCACCTTCAAATGCAACATACTGAAAGAACGGATGCACGTCTTACTTCTTTCACTTTCAATGGTCTTCCACCAAGACTATGCTTGTTCAAAACCTCTGCAGCCTTTTTCATGCTTTCTTCCATCTTGAATTCAACAACACTGTGGGGATACAAGACATCTAAGAACATTGCTTATTTTTTTTTAGTTTCCTTGTTTCTTGCTATAAATTCAGAAGTCAACTTACGCGCATCCCTGACGAGATGATTTCACAGGTGAGTAACGGAGGAGAGGAGGGAAGAAAGAAGAAATAAAGTAAGTAAAAGCACAAAACACACAAAACACTTTTTTTTTTAAAAGTCACAACACATGAGTTCGCCCTAATAGCGAAAATAAATGTAATCTTACCCAACAAAGCCTTCAATACTTGAATTCCATAAGATATCACTTCTTATGTGTTAACAGGATTAAACTCTAGTTGCTGAAGTTGTAACAAACAGAACTAAGTCCCGATTCTCCAAGCAAAATACCACACGCTTCATGTGACCTGTTCCTCTCTGGCATACAGCAAAACCCTTGCCATATTCTCTCACCCTAAATCCATCTCCTTCCGTACAGGTAAGTGTGCTCCTACTGTTATTTTTCTCCCTGTAAGATACTGTCGCTGGACTAAAGGCCTTAAGTACCTCTGAAGGCAATATACATTTACTTTTAGGAGCTGACTTCTGTCTTCTGGCAAAGGAAGCGTCGTTTACGGAACCTGCTTTTGCACACTGGCCTTCCAAATTCAGCAAACCTCTAACAGTGACGTTTCTCCGAAACACAAGTATTACGTTAATATTCCGTACCACTCTACGTACTGCTAGGGTCCTTCAAACAGTCAACACCAACTGAACACAGGGGAGAGACCACCCTAACACTGGTTACGAGGCCCCATCCCACCTCCTCCCCACCCTGAAAGAAGCTTTAAGCGATCCTAGGTTATAGCCACTAAGCGTACACGCTCTCTACCTCCCTGACTTCGTTTCGTTCCACGTCACCATACAGTTACATTTGTCATGTACAAAATCCACAGAAGAAATCTCTCAAACACTTACCCTTGACTTTCCTTCAGCGTCCATTAAGAGCTCCACGTATGTTACCTCACCAACTACAAATCAGATTCCAGACGACACATATACCAAGGGAGAAAAGCCAAGAAAACAATGGGAATTTAGAACAATCAACAACCGTGAATGGAGCCTCTGCCTTATAAGAAAGCCCAGAAACACTCCATGTTCTCTAGACCACAAAACTGGACAATTACAGGTATGCAGTAAAGGCTTAAAGCAGTTCAACATGTTCTTGATTTTCCTCCACTTCAAAAGCCAGCTATTTCCACAATATAAGTTTCCTTGATCTTTAGTACCCACTCATTACTTGAGGCAATCCAAATCCATGGGAAAGTCTGCAAGAACAAGTTTCCTTCGTTTCACGTAAGACGCAAGCTCGTCTCCATCGGCCGGGACTCCAACAGTTGTTTGTTTTTCTCCGGATTGAAAGGCAAACTTCCAAAAAGGGAGTCAGGCTGAACCAAGAGCCCGAGAGATCACAGCTATTTATTTCGGCAGGTTTTTAGCCTTCACTTAAACCACGACAAAGTCCATCTTTTAGCTTCAATAAGCAGCATTGACCAGTTTACCATATTCGCTCTCAAGACAAACGACGGCAAAAGGCAAAACACGCTGGAAAACTATATCTGCACCTTTCCTCACAAGATTAGGATTGCCTTGTTATGACCACGTAACCGGATCGTGCACCTCCAGAATACAACTACCAAAGTGGCTGCTGCCTTTGAAGTGACTGGCATACAGAAGAATCATCAAAGCAAACATTTTTGACTTTCTGGTTTTAGAAGTTTAAGGTGGGAGGACTGCAAGCTGCATTATCGGAAAGGTAGGAAGCAGGCTTCGTGGGAAACCACGACCCAGCCTGAAGTATTGATAGGGCGCTTTGAGCGAAGAACTCGAGTCTCACATCCAGGAGCCTACCCCTTAGCAAGGCACAGGCTCTTCTCTCGTAGGACCAGTTGTTTCTAGGACACCTGGTGTCATTATGTCAGAGGAACATCCTGAAAAGTCCTTCTTGGAGCTGGAAGAAAAGGAATGCTTAATGGAATCACTACTTTTTTTTAAATCTCCCACTTGCTACTTTAAAAAAAATATTTAGCAGTATCAGCATTCCAGGCAAAGGACAGTTAACTAGACAGAATAAACCAACTCTGATCCACTTATGTTTTCATGAGGAGAGCGTTTGAGACTGGCAACACGTCCCTTTGAAAGGGACAGGGCAGATCGGAATGTTCGACTACCACCCACAGCTTCACTGTCTAAACAATACTTCTGGAAGTAAAGTCCAGCAAAATTAATTTTATCCCAGAATCTGACCAGCAGGAGATTACACAGTGCACGTGGGATTGTTTCCACGGTGTGTAATGAGAGGGACTGCACTGCCAACAGCCCTCCTGGACTGGTCTTTGGTGGCACGTGGTGGCTGTGCACCCTAGTCCCAGCGGTCAGCGGCGCCAAGCCGTTCTGCAGCCATCCACCTCAACAGCAGCAGCCAGAGTCCAACCAAAGCTTTGAGCGAGAATGCAAATGTCATTCAACAATTTATGTAGGAAGACAACAAATTCCCAGATTACCTACAATACCAGACCACTCTGTTTCACACAAGCCATAGGTTACGAGCCTGTGACTTTGCTCCTGCTAACACTCCTGAGCCCCTGGGCTGAGGGCTCTCCTCTCCCAACCACGAATCGAATTCAGCTCCATCTTACTTCAGCTCCACACAAACACTTCCAGAGAAGTTTTATCAATGAATATAACATATTAAATGTGATTTAACATTTGCTCTTTTAACAAATCTGACCTCTGAACCACAAGATTTCCAGGAATCTATCACAGCAGCAATCGTTTGTCACTTGGAAAAATCTCTATGTGCCAATTTCGCTCAGGGCTTCACATTCAAACCTTATCAACATCTGTATTAAAAACTAAATATACATCTTGAAGTAGCAGTAGTAGTAATTTTCTTCAAAAGGACATATGAACTTCCTGAATAGCCAGATTAAATAAAAAAGCAGAGGGAGGAGAATGACACAAATAGCATAACAGCTCAGTATCCAAGACATCAAGTCCAGAGTACAGAACTACTACAATAAAAATGCAATTTTTTTCACCTGAAAACCGTGTAAAATTATTTAACATGACACTTCTTTCAGGTGGCTGTCAGAGGACACTTTTTGAAAGAACTCAGGCTGGGTCGCATTTTATTTGGCTTTCTTCTAGATCTCAAATCATCGTATATCAGAACATCAGGCACTGGGGACAGAGCAGCAAGAGCACGTAAGGGCAGCCTGCGATAGCAGGTAGGCAATTAAGCCACCGAGAAGTACCAAGAGCAGATATCCTTGTACTAAATCTGCTTCCGAAGGGAAAAAGAAATACAGCGATCCAGGCAGATCTTCTTTCTGCTAGAGAACAGCTGGCTTAGATCAAGAAACTTAATCTGTATCCACAAGTGAAGAAATTTCATTTGATCACAGGAGGTTGTTACTTACAGAACTCAAGTTTATTACCAGAGCAAATCTGCTTCCGAAGGGAAAAAGAAATACAGTGATCCAGGCAGATCTTCTTTCTGCTAGACAACAGCTGGCTCAGATCAAGAAACTTAATCCGTATCCACAAGTGAAGAAATTTCATTCGATCACAGGAGGTTGTTACTTACAGAATTCAAGTTTATTACCAGAGTAGTCTGCAAAAAGGGAGGTAAAACTTGCAGAAAATACTAAGTCAATGCAAGTACCATTAAGGAATATGTTCCTCATTATCTTTAGGACTTAACTTCAAGCAGACTGACATATATATATTTTTTAATAATGAAATCCAGAAGCTTGGCGTTTCCCAAAACCAGATTGAAGCAGAAATCACACAGTAACTAGAAATACAAAACGAAGGAATCTCCAGTGTTCCTTATCACTACAGCCTTTCTTCCCCCCTCAAACTTCCCAAAGTTTATCTGCACAGAAAATCAAGATGTTTAAGCCAGGCTGGTCTGTCAGAATTCAGATATTCTCCAATGACTCTTGAGGAAGCTCAGATAAGTATGTCCATGAGGTAACCAGGCACGGCTCACACGGATTCACCTTGCCCTGAAGACATGTCTGGGAAGCAGTGAGGGTAATAAGTTCAGACACAGATGTCAACTTCTTAAGTTGAGCAGTAAGATTTTAATAGTTAGTGACAAAGTAAGAAGCTCTGGAAGACGTGAAAGGTGCAGAGAGGCAAGTCTCGGCAAGAAAAGGAGCACAGAAACTGAAAAAAGGGGTAAATGCTTTATATCACAGTTATTTCTCTGGTCTACAAGGTCCAAAGCAAACAGTGAACAGAAGAGAAGACTCTCAAGACACTACTCAAGACTCCATGGATGTCCTACCACCTTCTGAAGTGCAACGTGACCGATTCAGAGGAGCATGCCATCAAAAACCTAATACTTTAAACACGAGGCAATTCAAAATGGGGGCACAGCTCCTCTTTCATTTACAGTTTAAAGCTCATTACACGCAACCTCTAAAAAGTTATATGGGGGGGCTCAGGCTGGGCAGAGAGAAGCACAATTAATGCATGTACAAAGCTTTAGGTAAAAGGGGAAAAGAAAAACATTCTCCCCAAAGTAGAGACAAAAGAGTTTGTAAGCTATTCTTTTAGAGTAGGGAAGGGATGTCTCACTTTTGCGGGAGAGAACTCAGAGAAAAAAAGTGGATAATTTTGGCTCTAAAAAGGCCAAGCAGGAAAGAGGGAGTGAAAAGGCTAAAGCTCACTGCACCCACTGAGGAAGGACAGCGCCTTCTTGAAAAGCTGGTTAAAGCCAATGAAAATAGAACAACTAATCTACTGAAAATTAGGAGCAACAAGTCAGATGTGGACCAGCACTTCCATGCTGCATATTCATTCCTCCCTCTTTGCCCACCTAAAACTTCAGTCTGCGAGAACACTGCAACAGAACCTTGGGCACCGAAATTCGGGGGGCTCTCCAGTAACAGCTGTCTTCAGGTACCGGACTAATAGCTGTTAGTACTCAACTAACATTTGGGATCAAGTACAACAGCAAGAGGGCACAAATTGTAACTTTAGGAGGCCCTAAAGGCTCCAAAAATTTTAGAGATGGAGCAAGAAAGAAGGTAGCACATTAAGTTTAGCAGCTGCTCTTCTTCACAGGAAGTTTAAGCTGGGAAAGCTTTGTTCTTTCTTTTTCTGCCACGTGTTGGCACATCCAGGTTTGGATACGCAAGCAAGCCGGCTCCATACTACAGCTCCGCCTCGTGTAAACGTGGCTCCAACCGCTGCAACGCAAACGGTCCCTGGGGCATGCAGGGATCTTTGAATGCAACACAAGCGTGGCCTTCACTGCAAGCGCTCCCGGCTTTGCAACACAGCAGAACAACATTATTGCCTCCCTTTACAGCTAATCCTTCTCCTTGTATTGTACAGCACCTCGCTACTCTGGTCAGGAGAAAGGTTTTAAGTTCTGAATTTCCTAAAGGAATCAATAAGTATCTCGAATTCAAACACAAGTTCTTTTTTAATCAGGGGGCATCACCTCACACCAGCTGCCATCAAGTATTTCCCTTTTTCTCTCTAAGCCAAAGCCCTTTGTTGGGGGACAGATTAAGAGAGCTATTGAGCAGTCAATCAGGTTTACTTTTAGATCCCACGTCCGTGCTGCAGAACTGCTGCCTCATTCTTCTCCGGAAGCCATTCACCAGTTGCCAGTTATCAACGCTGATTCCATCAGTTTAGTAGGACCCTGTGTTTGTCAGCCAATGCAAGGGAGTTTCAAACAAGAACATTTTGTGATTTCATTAGTAACTACTGCATACTGCATACCTGTAATTGTTTCACCAACAAATACACTGAAATGACTGAACCGAGGCGTTACTCTTGCGAGAGGTCACCGTACGCATCTGAAGAAACCAGATTGCAGAAATATGAGCAGACCTCAAAGCTCATGTCTCCTAAACCATACTTACTGACGCAAACCAGCCGATTGAGGTGAACTCCTCCTACGTTCAGCCACCTGCTACGCCATCGCTGCTAACAGCTTAAGTCTTCACGACTGCCAAGCGATGGAGCAGTCACGAAACGCCTACGTCGACCCCTCGTGTACGGATCTGCTTCACGTGCTCCCCAAACCTTGACCGTTTGGCCTGTAATTCTTACACTTACAAACCAAGAATTCCAACATTTAGAATTTCCCCACGGTCACATTCCTGGTTCTTGGAACTACTATGCCTTGTATCAAGAAGTACCGATTGAGCAAGTTCAAGCACAGCACGAGAGCACCAATTTGGGAGAAGTCAGAGGCTAATTTGAATCGCGACTACGCGGCAAATCTAAACTGGCGTTATTTTAACAAGCAGTCCCAAAAACCAAGAACAATGCTTCGCGATGTTTAGCATAACAAGCCCTGCAGACAGAACGAAGAGGGTTCAACGTTCCCCTAGGAGTGTCTGCTGGAATGAGCAGCTGAACAGCAAGGCAGGAAACAAATCTCACACCGGACTTTTCCATCCACGTGAACTGGAGAGAAACCACAAGACACTTGGAACGGAATTCAACACAGTACTTAAAATTAGACATCTACACATACAGATACTCCTGTTAACCAACGTATCTCATGTAGCAAAGTGAGAGCAGAGTTTAAGGCAAGGGACCAGTCAGAATTAGGGCCCTGTAAAGCAGTCTTGCAGACTGTCGTTCTTCACGTTGCAGAAAACCGTTGCCGAACCTCGAGCATTAACATTTCTCAGCCTCTAATTATGGAACTTTCCCAGGGTTTCTAGTCCTCGAGTTCGTTACGCAGACTCGGTTCCGTTTTGCCTCCAAAGACAAAACCCTTTTGAAATTTAGGTTCCCTTTCAGCAGGCCACACCGTGTGAACACATTAACTATCGTTCCTTACCTAGTTCAAACACAAGTGAACCCTGATGACTATTTTGCAAGACATTTCAGACAGATCCTATGTGTTTTAGAAGTGACCCACACGAGGAACAGTTGGATTAGTTACTCTTAACTTGTTTCAAGACATGTTAACGACGGACAAGCCAAGTATTTCCTTGCCACTCTGCTGCATTTCCAAGGTGACTTGAAAACTAGTACGTTGGGCACCAGCTTAAGAGAAATAATACTACGTTTAGACTTGTCACCACCTGAGAATAATCAGCTCAGTTTCTTCATCTTCTTCAAGACATGAGGATGTCAAGGTCAAACTATGACAGCTCCCATTCACATGAGACAGTTAAATAAAGTGGGAAAGGGGGAAAAACACCATGAACAGGATTTCCAGAGCCCTAACTGAGTTGGCAGTATATGCCAAAGCACAAATCTAATTTTCCTGTTTTGCAGGTCACGTTCAAATATATTTTACTGCTATCAGATGGCAGCATGGATCTTTATCGAAGCACAAATCACTACAAAGCTTGGGGGCACAGCTATATATACATACACCAAAATCAGTAAATAACTACCTTTATTACCCAAAACACATTGAAATGCTGTTGCATGTTAAGGCTAAAAAGCTGATAAAAGCCTCGTTTTCCCCCCTCAAGAAAAAAAAGGTTTTGAATCTCCAATGAAGCACTATTAGCTCTAAGCCGACGTGCCTATAAAGGACCTATCCATCTGGAAGGCTGCCAGGGAGCAGATGTTGTGCAACACCCCAAAAAGGCTTCAGAAGACGACTCATGTCACTGAGTGCACTCAGAACTACAGCTCTTAATTTCATAGTCAGACACAAGTAAGATGACAGACATCACTTGGCCACCTGAGTTGTACATTACCTTTCTCTTTGACCAGGTCTTTCAGAGACTGCCACTTCACGTCAAACGGAATATTTGTAATAAAAGCTCGGTATCTTTTAGCAGGATTAGCATATGGCTCAAAGCGATTTCCTCCTCTTTTGACACTTTTCTCTTTTCTTTTTTCATTTTGGCTTGGTCGTTCACCTTCACTGCAAGCAAAGAAAGATAACCACACACGTTAACTACTGTGGCATTTGAGCAATGTCACACCACCGCCTGCAACATAACTTGTGACATTGTTAAAACTACAAGAAAATTTGCAAAGTTTCATCCACCGACATTATTTACAAAACTGTACTGCACCCGTGCTACTTAGTGTATTCGTAACAAAAAGACAATTTATGCCACAAAGACCCAATATTTTGTCCACTTTTACACAATGTAACCAAAGGTTTCCGTTTCAGAAGCTGAATCTCTTTAAAGCTGACCAAGCTGCACTCCACCTCCTCGTGATGCTCCTGACCAGATGTCCACCCCATTTATTATCTCCTTAGCGCACCACACTACTTAAACGCTTTTAAGTCAAATAATACATTGACCCATGCATACGCAGTCCTGCAGCAGAAGCATTTTAACAAAATAATCTTGCGCCTAAATAAACGTTCACATCAACAGCTCTTACCTAAAACACCTTTTTCTCCCCTTGCTCCTCCAATTAATATAGTTTTTGGATGACACAAATTCAAAGCTTCTGTGCATTCCAACAAATGTATTAAACAGTTCTTTCAACTGTATTAGAATAAGAGCTCTAACAGGTAAAAAAATTTAAAAAATCAGAAATGAAGACTACTTCTCAAATGTCACAGAACAATAATATTTTAAAAACCAGGAGAACTAAATTCTTCAGCCTCAGCCTGACACGATTCCCTTAATCTAATTAATCTCTTCATTCACTTTGTGCTGGTTGTTAAGATGCAGAAATGCACGTTCAGAAACAATTCCTGAGAACACGTTAGTTTAAAAAAAAAACAAGACTGGTAAAGTTTCTAAAACTTGGCTCTTGCTCAACTTAAGACTTACAGAGCTCTACCAAGCGCGAGCCACACCAGAAATTCTGGCTGCACTGTCAACGCACTCCTGCAACAACACTGTTCGCTCCCTTAAAGCGATTTCCGTCAGGAACAGACACAACAGCCTGCCAGGAAAAAAAAAAAAAAAAAGTATGCAGATATCTAGGAGGCTTTATATTTGAGTGCGTTCCCCATTTTTCTGATACAGTCACCTACGCCTTTTCAGCCACAATGTTACAAGTAAACACAAACACACCAAGAGAAATAATGTACTTTATGGATACAGCCATAGCCACAGAGCTTGGCTCTAAGTATGGCCATCATTTATTACTTCATGACAAAAGGGACACAGGTTCTGCACATAACTAATATGCTAAAAAGAGGGCTATAAAAAAAGTGTTCTTTAGTTATCTGCAATATTTATTTCACCAAAAAGTGAGGCTTTTAGACTCTCCTTCACTGAACTTCTTTAAAGCTTTGAGTAACAAAGTCATTAAAAATCCACAGAGAGATTCCAAACAGGACAATCCTAACAAAATTCAGTTTGGCTGAAGAAATAACACAAAAGTTAATGCTGGTGTTAAAAGCTACATCCAGTTTTCATGGTTATTCCTCAAACTTGAACTATTTGCATTCTCCCTTGGTTGAACTGCTGCAAAACAGGCTCTGAAGTGACATGGTATGATGCAGATAATTTTTCTCAATCCTGCATTTAAGGTTCCCAAGGCAGCTTAAAAACACCTTGAGCTTTGATATACCTGTAACGGATTCAGGCAAGACACGGTACCTGTCATTAGAGACTAACCTAGAACATATTCCTTATCACATTCAGCATAACAAAATCAAGCCAGGGCAAAAGGAGGAAACTACTTCAGCTGCAAAGTTGTGGGTTGTGGGGTTTTTTTTTCCCTTCTGCAGGATTTCAGACACCACATCCATGGGTTTCACACACTGAAAGGACAAGAACAGGCAGGTGCAGGTCCACAGAGATTGCTTAAAAGATGTGGTTACCAAGTATGAAAACAACAGAACTTTTACAGCTTCTTTTGAGGGAGTTCTAGAGTGCAGGCAGGAATAAGCTCACATCACCAAAACACACCGTGCCTGTGGGCATCCCAAAGCTGGAAGGGCAAGTGAAGTGAAATTCCCACAGCAGCTTTGACCATCCCAGTAAGGAACCACTCTGAGTAACCATGATCCATCTAGACTAATGCAAAATCTCCACAAAACAGTGCATTTTAGTTATTTTCAGAAGCTGTTTTATCAACTGATTTTTAACTTGGTTTACAGAGATGAAATGCTTCATGAGGACTAAAGAAAAGTTCTCCTACGTGTGAGGCATGTAGGAGGAACTGAAAGGGAAAGTCTTATTTCCTCCAAAGAAACAGACTATTGCACACATTCCTCTGTAAGATTTATTAAACATGCCACCTAAACCTAACAGGTGTACCAGAAATCAATAAACAGAGCGAGATGCAAAATCCACTATAGGCAAGTCCTGCTTCCTCCCCCAAGGATACTGAAAATACGCTCACGTGAACGCTGGCCTTATCGCTGCAGTCGTGTTAGCTTTGCTACACAGAGCTTGCCACTACAGAGAACTGCACCTAGACGGAAAGATAAACTCTCTGGAGAAATTCCAAACAGAAGAATGAAGAACCAGAATGAAATAGACAACTTATATTTCCAGGAATAAACCACTTCCTCATATAAGCCATTCCTGATTACACGTTAGCTCTGCTGTAGTCACCAAGAGCGAGCTTTGAGGCATAATAAGAAGTTAAGATCCTCCAGGCACCAACTCTCCAACCTGAGGAGGGGAGAAGCCGATGGGAAGCTCCTTCTCTCGCCCTGGCTAACGTGTTACAAGTCACCACATCACGGAACATGGTGGCACTGGGATCCCCACCCTCCGGGCTCACACTGCTCTGCTCCCGCCTGCCAGGAAGAATGCAGACAAAGTTGTGTATCTCAGTATTTTTTTTCGATTGCCAAAAGCACAGTTTAACTCTTTTGTGTTAAAGAAAAAAACAATATATATGGATTTCTTTTCTTCCCTCCAGAAAATGACCCTCGGAAAGCCGCCCACCTTCCCAATCAGATGGAACACAATTCACAAACGCAGGCGGCAGATGAGAGCAGCTTTTCAACCTGAGACACACGGCCCAGGTATTATCCCCAATTAACTCCAGACCATGGAGCGGTTATTCAGATCTGTCAGCTCCGGGTCAGGGGACAGAAATGCACCGTGCCAGGGCGTGCCAGCACCCGGCAGCCTGCCCAGCACCCAGCTACGAACACACCTCAGGAGCAGCAGATAAAGAAATCTGACCTCAAGTCTGGAACATTACTCACAGAACATCAGGTTTAAAATGCTGATCATTATCCCCACGGCTTTTAAGGCCTGGGGCCAAAAATTAACTCAAGAAAACGTGTTCTTTATTCCACAGATCTAGAATGGAAAAAAAAAAATCAACTTTGCTAACTATGAAGTTCTCCAAAATTAAGTTGACATTAACCTAGGAAAGCGACAAGAAGTTCCAGCTTCTTCTGTTCATCAACCCCACATCTACAAACTTAAAAGTGTAATCCTTGTGGGGTTTTTTTAATTTCTGTGACATTTTATTGCCATCAGACACACAAACCTTACTTCTTGTCTGGCATCACCCTTAACCTCTTGCTCTGGAGTCACTTGTCTCTCCTGTTTCCAACCCATCCCACGGGTAAATCATCAACCACGACACAGAATACACTCTGCTCCCAATGTTGCAGAGATGACTTCCCGAGAAGAGCTTAGCTCTTACAACCTGCTACTCATAGAACAAAAAAGTAATTGACTTCGAACATCAAAAACAACCCCGCTGGCACAACCTACGCCTCTAGGGGAGGCTGCAAGTTGTCCGCTAAGGCCCAGCAGAGACATTTCCTAAGCGGGACACGCAAATGTCTCCAGGATCTCCCATGACGAGCGACCGGTTCCTTCCCCG